TTTGGGGTCTCTGAAGGTCTTTGGGGGACCATCAGTGGTCTTTTGGGGGTCTCTAAAGGGCCTTGGGGGTCTATGAAGGGCCTTGGGGGTCCGTCAGTGGTCTTTGGGGGTCTCCAAAGACTTTTGGGGGCCCACTGATGGGCTTTGGGATCAGCTAAGGGCTTTGGGGTTCCATCAGTAGTCTGTATGGGTCTTTTTGGGGGTCTCCAAAAGAATTTGGGAACCCATCGGCGGTCTTTTGGGGTCTCCAAAAGGGTTTGGGATCCCGTCGGTGGTGATGTTTTGGGGTCTTTTGGGGTCTCCAGAAGGATTTGGGAACCCATTGGCAGTGATCTTGTGGGGTCTCCTAAAGGGTTTGGGAACCCGTTGGTGGTGGTCTTTTGGGGTCTCCAAACAGGTTTGGGAGCACATTGGAGGTGATGTTTTGGGGTCTCCAAAAGGATTTGGGAACCCGTTGGTGGTGATGTTTTGGGGTCTCCCAAAGGATTTGGGAACACATTGGAGGTGATGTTTTGGGGTCTCCAAAAGGATTTGGAAACCCATCGGTGGTGATGTTTTGGGGTCTCCCAAAGGATTTGGGAACCTGTTGGTGGTGATCTTTTGGGGTCTCCCAAAGGATTTGGAAACCCATCGGTGGTGATGTTTTGGGGTCTCCAAAAGGATTTGGGAACCCATCGGTGGTCTTTTGGGGTCTCCGAAAGGGTTTGGGAACCCGTTGGTGGTCTTTTGTGATCTCCAGAGGGTTCTGGGTGACACAGGACGTATGTCACACATTGTCACCTGCTGACCCCCCACCCACCCGTCCTTGTTGTCCCCAGGGACACCGGGGAGGTGGCCCATGGTGACAATCTCCCCTTGTGTCCCCCCCCAATCCCCCCAGATGTGCAGAAGTTCCCGCTGCGCATGAAGGACAACGACCTCCTGGTGACAGAGCTCTACCGGGACCCCTCCGAGGACGCCGTCACCGCGCTCAGTGTCTACCTCACACCCAAGAGCAGTAAGGGTCACCTCCACGAGGTCCTTGTCACCTCCACGGGCTCCTTGTCACCTCCATGGCCACCTTGGCACTTCTCTGGCCACCATGTCACCTCCATGGGCTCCTTGTCACCTCCACGGGCTCCTTGTCACCTCCACGGGCTCCTTGTCACCTCCACGGGCTCCTTGGCACTTCTCTGGCCACCTTGGCACTTCTCTGGCCACCTTGTCACCTCCATGGGCTCCTTGGCACTTCCATGGGCTCCTTGTCACCTCCACGAGGTCCTTGTCACACTCACGGTCACTTTGTCACCCCCACGGCCACCTTGTCACCTCCACGAGGTCCTTGTCACCTCCACGGCCACCTTGGCACTTCCATGGGCTCCTTGTCACCCCCATGGCCACCTCGTCACCTCCACGAGGTCCTTGTCACCTCCACGGCCACCTTGGCACTTCCATGGGCTTCTTGTCACCCCC